ATTTAAGTGGACCTCCCTGGTTCAACAGATGGGTTACGGCTCCAGAGCTCTGCAGCAGCTGCAGATGTACTACGAAGGCAAGTTTCCCACCATGGATGAGAGCGTGCAGCCGGCCAACACCCAGATCACCTCTGTCAGCAGCGAGGTAAGAGGAAGCGGCTCCGCCGTCTATCAGAAGGTTTCCTCCTGATCCGATTCAAGGTTCATGTCTGTCGGCTTCCAGGCGGTCAGTCTGCTGGAGGAGGTGGTGACTCCTCGGAAAGAGCTTCCTCCTCTGCTGCTGAAGCTCAGTGAGAGAAGAGCCGAGAGGCTGGACTATCTGGGAGTTTCCTACGGACTCACAGCTCAACTGCTCAAGTGAGTTCAATATAAGAAGATGGGAAACGGTGCTGAAATATTTAGGTGGGTTTTGTGTGTTTGACCTGTTTGGTGTCTTACAGGTTCTGGAAGAAAGCAGGTTACACTCCGGTCTACCTAAGACAAACACCTGTAGGTGCTCTTATTAGACCCGTTTTATTTTTGGGTGTTTAACTCCTTATTCATGACGTATTTTCTCGCGCTCAGAACGAGCTGACGGGGGAGCACTCCTGCGTGATGCTGAAGGAGCTGAGCACGGAGGAGGCTTCAGAGCAGAGCCTGTGGCTGGCTGCTTTCTGGAAAGGTGAAATTCACTCTGCCACCTGAACAGCTCTCGCCATCATCCCTCTGCGCTCCATCTGAGGATTTTTCTCTCAGATTTCCGCAGGCGCTTCCTGTCGCTGCTCTCCTACCAGTTCAGCAGCTTTCACCCCAGCCTGGCGCTCAACATTCTGCAGAATAAGAAGTTAAAGGAGGAGGCAACACGTAAGATTGTTCATCTTTAGTTTCTGCAGCGAATCGCTTCAGCCGATCTGACTTTCTTCTGATCTCCAAACAGCTCTGAGCAGCTCCGAGCTGGCGGCCCACTTCACCCCGTATGACCTGAAACGGCTGGAGCTGTATTCCAGGAGCATGGTGGACTACCACCTCATCATGGACCTGATCCCGACCGTCGCTCGCGTCTACTTCCTCAAGCAGCTGGGCGACGTCTCCCTCTCAGCAGCACAGTGTGTAGGTTCTTACATAGCATCCCTCTTCCCCGCTTTTCTTTTATTGTAACTGGATGCTGATTGGCTGATACCTGTCCAGGCGCTGCTGCTGGGAATCGGACTGCAGCACAAATCTGTGGAGCAGCTAGAGAAAGAAATCGAGCTGCCGAGCTCTCAGCTCATGGGTCTCTTCAACCGTCTCATCCGTAAATTTGCGCAAGTGAGTTTCTCCTGATTTTTGTGGAAAAAACGTCCATCAGAATCGTCCTGTTGGATAAAAACATATATTGTATCATCAGAAATTGTATATATATTTTTTTTAGAAGTGATGCTTTCCCATTTTCCA